AAGAACCAAAACTGGGCAGTCTCCATTCCATGTGAGCAAGAATTCCTGAGCCCCAACTGAAAAATACAAGTGGGTCCTCAGGCATGGATATGGAAATACATCCAGACCTGCTGACCCCTAAGCCAGGCAGAACAATTCTCCAAGTATTCCAGGGATCTCTTTGAGAGTGGAGAATCCACATAAGTTATTTGGAATTCTACACCATGTGATACTTGTTCCTTACCCTCCATCGATTTTTTAAAAATATTTTTTTAGTTGTAGATGGACATAATATCTTTATTTTATTTATTTATATTTTTAATGTGGTGCTGAGGAACGAACTCAGTGCCTCACTCATGTAAGGCAAGTGCTCAACCACTGAGCCACAACTTCAGCCCCTCCACTGATTTATTTATTCAATCATTTATTTACAGCAGCATGAACTCATGGGTATTTATTTTATGCTTTGGTTAATAATCCAACAACGTCTTGTACGTTGAAGCATGGTCCCTGGGAGCTCCTGTACTTGTGACAAGTGCTGGTAGGGCCTGTTGTAACTCAGGCAGTGCCAACTCCAAGGCACCTACTCTCAACCAGTGGAGTGTGGACTTGAGATTAAAAAGTCTTTTTAGGTGGGCATCATTAGCTTATTCATATTACAGAAGTAGCAGAGGAACTTAACTTGGATGTGATGACCCCATTAGAACGTGATTCCCACCTTGCAGAACCCCAAGGCCTGAGCTCCCTTCGGGCTGACGGTGCAGAGATCTGGTGGGAAGACTTGAGTGATTTTAATTCTGATTCCTTTATTTCTCCTGAGGCTGTGTAGCAAAAGCAACATACATCTCTCTGCTAAAAACTTTATTTTTCTTTTCTGAGACACGAAGCACATCTGTTTACTTTGGGGGCATGCTGATCAGAATCTTTGAAAGTCATGCTTATCTTAGTAGAAAGAGAAAAATCAGTTAGAAATCAGGTAGCAAAGAGAGTCTACCTGATGTTCAACATTCTCAAAGGTGGGGACAGGAGGGAACTACTGGTCCATTCTGTCAGAAGGTCCAAGTCTTTTCCTGAGTCTCCCCATGGCTGACTTCATCTCCTGGTTCCTCAG